TTCGTTTTTTTAAAAAATAGACCTGTCTTCGTGTCAGCGCCCGTCGAAGACATGATAAGTGAGCATATTATCGTGTCTTAGTGTCTTTGTCTTCAACTCTTGAGGGACGAAGACACGACACATTGCAGAAATCAGCCGCCATAGCTTTATGGGTTTTTTTAACGGATACAATTACTTTTTATACTTTTCTTTCACTTTGTAAAATGAAACAAAAACGGAACTTACTTTTGACTGCCTTCAGATCGTGCATTTGTTGGCTCAAAACAGCATTCTCAGACTTCAGAACAACATTTTCCGACTTCAAAATTTCAACTTCTTTTGACAAATTATGAAGTTCGTTTATGATGGTATAGTAGTTATCGTCAAGAAGAATTCGTTTGGACCGACTGTCTTCTTCGGAAGCACATCTGTTACACTTAATCAGAGTAATTATGAAAATTATACAAAAATGATTACGGTCCATTGTTAATGATCTGAATTCATCTAGTTCAAAAGTCTGAAACAAAAAAAAATATTCACGTGTAAGATAAGAGAACTTTCAAATAGGAAAGAAACATGACGAGAAAATAAGCTTGAAATTATGCACTTGACTACAAGCAACATATCTAACAAATTGGACTTTTTTAATCATTTATCTTCATTAATCATCAAATATATTAATGTGTTTCTCAATTAGTGTTATGTAGAGAAATGTTTCAGCAATTTGTACGTTTCACAAAAAAGAATAATAAAAGACATCACAATATAAGATAAAAGTGTAGGATGGCAAACTTATTTCATTCGCGTTTCGTCCATTTTTAATATGTATAAATTTGATTCACAATAATTTTGTAATACATGTAATATGGATAAAAGTCTCAGCAAATAGCAACTTTGCACAATAAAAGAAAACAAATAATATGCAAGATGCAATATGCAAATGTCAAAAAAGAAATTAATAAATAGAGGCAGCTTACAATTAAAATTTGCATAACCGTTTTTTATGCCCCAAAGGGAGTCCTATAAAAAATCGCACTGTGCAATACGTATGTCTGTGCTTCTCACTTACACAGCATTCGTGTCCAGACTGTAACTTTGTTGCATTGAAATATCTAAAAATAACATATGTCAAATGTCTACCACACCGAGCAGACGTGTGGCGTCTAAGGCCCATGTCACTATCTAAAAGGTCACACTTAGAATTTGAAGGTACACATTCAAATCCGGACACCAACTTCCAATGTCGTCCAATGAATGATTTTATTTTTAATTAGCCTGGCATAAATGTATTCCATATCATGCACTGATTGTCGCTTTTAAGATCTATGTCCCTACATCCAAAGTACTAGTCAATGTGCTATGAAAAGCACTTTCACAAGAAAACAATATTAAGCAAAATTAGTTACTTTTATTGTTTTTTTCCTTTTATAATACATTTCTGCAATACATACACAACCAGTTCGGGAACATTCGTCAGTTTTGTGTTATAGTTTCTTGTTGAAATTAATATGTGTTCTTAAGAGTAGGTGATTAAGTATAAACGAAAATTTACATGGCGAGAAATTACACTCGACTTAACAATGTCATAGTTTGAAATCAATTCAGTACTCATGCAGAGACGATTTTAAATTAATCATATTTGAAAACACACTTTATAAGTGTTTGAATGGAAATGAGGTGTTGAACATTCGTTACTGTTAGTGTTGCGCTTTAAGGATCAGAACATATTGGCAAAAATATCCATAAAAACTGTAAACACATCGTCTTCCTGTGATCGCAAAAAATGATACAAATTAAATTGAATCAGATTACAGTATTTGGAGTAAAACATGCTTGTAATCAAAATAACCCATACTCATTGAATGGTATAGGTTTGCTGTAAATGACATACTGAGATTCTGTTTCAACACATCCAATAAAAATGATGATTTCATATTATCAAACTATACAAAATGTACATGTAATTAACCAAAAACGAACTTTTATAAAAATAGATGCTTTTCCATAATTTATATTAAGGTAACAAAATGTATCAAATGTGAACGATTTGTACAAAAGATATCAATAAAGATATATTATCATTTCTACAAAGACTTGAATATATCAAATAAATCAATGTGAAATGTTGTGCAACTATTTATTATTTTACAGAATTTTATAATACAATACATGTGTAGCATATGAATTACTATCAATATTCTAAAATATACTTTTAGATTAAATATTTATTCAAGAAAAAAATGTAATTAGCCCGATATTGCGACGATTTGTAATGATAGCAATAGTTTTCCTATTTTGAAACGCTGCACTCAAGATTTCCTGGTATCATTTATTTCCCATCAATTGTATTTGCAGCAGAAATTCCTTCAAATCTTATACATTGTAAGGTACAGAGTATTTTTTATCTTCATTGTAATATTTTCGTATTTTACATCCTTAACATTGACTTTGTCTTGAACCTACTTACTAGTATGTACTTATTTTACGACCACCGCTTTGACATATTTCATGTCTCTGAATATCCACAAGATATATTTTACAATATTGTTTTTAACAACTTCCATAACAAGATGCACGCATGCCATCTGGCCACGTTGTGTGTGTCGCACTCATTTAGGGACCAACTATAGCAAACAAACGCAAAGTCTGTATGTCCTTCCATTTCCATACACTGTCCGAGCAGATTCATTGCTGTTTCCCTATGAAAAAGCATCGGCTCAGAAACAATAATCTCTGCCAATCTGTCTAATGCATTCTCTATTTCGTTCTCCTTTCCCAATTGTTTGAATGTGAGATACTGCAAGAAGTAAAGAAATGGCAAGGCATCAACAACAGCCCAATCGTTCCAACCATACAATATATCTCCTCTACATTTAATTTCCTCATCAGTACACCTAAACATTTCATACTGCAGTGGCACAGGAACGCAGTGAATTTCGTGTCTATTAAAGCTAACTCCGGATGCAAAGCGAAGTTTCCCAAAGGTGTCCGTGTCAGACATTGTGACTTCATCTGGAATAGAATCTTCAGCATTCCAAGGATCTGTACTCCTGCAGTTACAAACTGTCATTACAGTGTCATTACCGTAGCGACTTTCGATGTCGTTAAGTATTTTCTCAACATCATTGATTTTTCCGGCACAGTAAAGAACTGAGGCCAGTTTTAGTCTTCCTGCTGCCATATCAGAGGAAATACCCATATTGAGAAATTTCATTGCATCTTGCGTAGGGGCATTTCCGTCAAAGATATCTGAAGATGCTATCATAGACCCAACTGTTGAACACAGGACCGAGTTCATTAACGTAGCTGCTTCTGGTGCCGTTTTATTGCCAACGAAATTCAAAGCTAAAAGATTTCCAACCACTGTCGGTAGGGCCTTTGATCCATCTTGAATGCCTTCGATGGAAATCAAGTGAACAAACATCATTTTTGCGGCAAACAATCGCCGGAATAACTGGCAAAATACGATCAGTTGAGCTTTGTTTGAATCACGAGGAACGGTTGGGTCAAACTGGAAACTGTAGCCAAGAAAAGAATAAAATTTCATCGTAAATTTTTCACCAATACCGTCCACTTGAACAGAAAGAAGTTTCCGACATCCATCATTAATCAAATCACCGAGTTCTTGAATGATATCACTTCTACCTCTTCGATCTATTCGCCCGACTAGTAAATTGTTTTTCGGAATGAAATAGTGTGGACAGTTATTACTTGCAACACAGGCTTTCAACAAAACCAGACATGAAATTAAACATTCAATCAATCTGTCGTCCGTCCATTCTTGAATGTTGAGATTTTCCAAGAGGTTCATCATCATTGATTTGCACTGGAAACTTGTGAGCGCTGCACCTAATAATGGTCGAATAATGGTTTTCATGATAATTTTCAACGCGGTGTAACATCGGAGTTGCGTTATATTCATGTTAAACATGTAGCATCTCTCTGCTTGTGAAGTTGAAATGCGCCACTCATATTTTTCGTTTTCACTCAGACTATTTCCTGTCGGAACAACAAAACATCCGGTCTGGTGAGAATATTTTAACATGTGATCATACGGCCATCGATTGTGAGGACGATTGCGTTGTACCAATCGTCTGGCCATATTTGGCCATGATTTACATCTAAAAGCCCTTACATGATCTATATCAAACTGTTCAATAGTCTGTGCCGGCCCTTGTCTGACACTACCTAACTCTTCGTCTGCTGGAATATCATGCAGAAAGGTGTTCTGTAAGAAGCAATTTCCACGCTGGTCATATCCAAATTTATCATAAAAACTCCTAGGTCCAAGATCGAAAAGTTTTAGATAACAATAGCCAGGGGGTGTATCTTCGTTTTCCACAATGAGAAGATTACATTTACCTTCTATACATTCAGCAATATTTTGTACGACATTGACTCTTGTTGTACACATTAACTTGTCCTTGTCGGATCCAAGCCCTACTGTTGTTGAACCTTCTGTTTGACTCCCGAAATAGTAGACAAGAGAATCATGGCAACATACTGTACTTCTCAGACAATCCATTCTTTCCATTAGCAGGTTGGTTTTCTGTCTTACAAATCTCATATCATCATTGACACCAACCTCGGACAGAGTTTGGGAAAGACGATTTGAAGCATTATGCAGATAGTTTGGAACATGAAACATTTTGTCCTGAAAGAAAAGGGAGGAAAACACTAAATAACATGTTGAATGTTGAATATGTGCGCGTGTGTGTGCGTTCATGCGTGCGTGCGTGTGTCATGTAGTACATCTACTGCAATCATCGTGATAAAATTAACATTGTTAATATACTTCTTCATCTAATTCATTAAAGGATGTTATACGCGTTTTATAATTGTCTGTATTGTATATTTAACGAGATGTTTATAAACATAATCTTGGTTACAGATTTATCCCAAAAAACACAGTTAAAGTAATTTAGCATTTGTATATTTCATAGTTAAAGCTATTTGTTTCAGGTAACGACTAAACAAGCATCTAAGGTGCTCTGAAACCATTATTTAAACGTTATAAAACTCATGTTTGCCCTAATAAAGTAAACTTTATTGCTTCGATTGCATTGAATCATTCCAAGTTCTGTGTTTCTTAATAAAATATACTGACACATGTACTGGGCCCGATTCATGTACATACTTCCTTTGTAAGAAAATAAAATATGTATCCTATAAACATTTTGAAAATATGGTGAAATTACATATAATTAGGTTAAAATCAAAGTTGACCACATAATGAGTCATGAAAACTTTAAATTTATTTTACCGAATAAACCACGACAGGTATGTCACGCTTATGAAATAAATAATGTTTAGCATTTTAAAATATGATTATTCGTGTAAAGATGCATGTCATGACATGTGTAAATAAAGATTGATAAATTTGTCTATGAATATCGCATCTAGATCTATTTCAGTCGACATTAAAATCAATCAATGTACATGTATTTAAAAACTATAACCCGGTGACCTTTTGCTAAAAAGTATCTTATACCATATATAGCACACACACACACAATTCCTTAGCTCACTGGAGCTGAATTAATTTGGAAATAATAAGTGATATCACTTCAATACTGAAACACGATAATTCATAGATAATAATTAATTACCGCGCAAAAAATACATGTATATTTAAACAAAAATGAATAAAACGCAATTTTGAAAATGATATTTTACCTTTTAAGCAAGAAGTGTAGTTTCCTTTTCAAAAAGTTGGAAATTCTTTAACTCTTTAAATAGAACTTGATACTATCTATAGATCAACTATGTTTGCAACATGTTGAATCATTATAACGTAGTGATTTAAACCCGGGTGTATTGCAAATTATGAATTCATTAAACTCTTCGATTAAATTTAGCTTGGTAAAGTGTTTATTTATTAACTATTCCACTTCCTTAACAAAGCAGTACATATGCCGTGCGAAACTATATGGTGGTGAAAAACCGTATGTTGTTCAATTTTTATTAATATCCCTCTAATTTCGATGCAATCGTTACCTTCCTATTGGTCCGATTTCGTTGTGGCTTTGACATTGCAAAAGCTTGACTTAGAAACTTGACGGCCATGTGCGCGCGTCACATGATTCTTAAATTAGCCGATGAAAAAGTGTATTCATTCTGTATGTTAGGTCAAAAAGCACCATTTCCTAGAGGCTATCGGATCCTACCCATAAGTATGGTGGCTGATTTGCCAACACGACTCACAAAAGTTTGTTTGTTTGTTTCATTTTACGCCCTTTTCAACAGTATTTCAGTTATATAGGCGGGTAGTTTCCTAACAATCGTTCCTGGAGAGTTACACCAGTACCAGACTACCTTCCTCCGTGCTAAACTACCAAAGCATCTCCCGGGGATCGAACCCACGCCAGAGAGGTAACTGGATTAGAAGTCATCGACTCTAACCCCTCGACCACGGAGGCGGTCGACTCACAAAAGCGTACCAAATCAGCCACCATACATAAGTCCAGTTCAATTACTCAGAGTCTTCTGTTTACGACAATATAAAGCACATGGTGCTCAGCAATGGCGCGGCATGATTGTAAACAGATGCGTAATTTGTTTATCTAGTACATAAGCTCTATGATTTTCGTAAAAAGCAGAACCGTGACCTTCTGTTTAGTCCGATTTGGTTGCAGATTAGCAAGTGCATTAGCTCGCACGTGACGCTAAAGCGAGTAAATTGGCCGGTATGGGTGAAATGATCTGTTTATTCAGGATATAAACTCTACGAATTTTCGTAAAAAAAATCACCATATCCTGGGGTCAGTCGTGACCTTCCAGTTAGTACCATTTCGTTGAGGATTCTTAAGTGCAACAGCTTGGGGTTTCTAGTATACCACGGAAACCAAGGCCAACATCAGTAAGCTCGAGAACTGCCAACGAAGAGCAGCCAGGTTCTGCACAGGTGATTATCGTTACACCAGCAGCGTTACTGCAATGATGGAAGCTCTAAGCTGGGACACTCTAGAAGCCCGCCGTCAGCAAACCAAAGCAGTGATGATGTACAGAGTCATTAACAGCCTGGTGGATATCCGAGCCCATCACATACTGATCCCTGCTGGAGTACACACCAGAGGCCATGCCAACAGATACCTACAACTCTTTACCAGTATCAACTCAAAGTTTTCGTTCTTTCCTTCTGGGATCCGACTTTGGAACAGCCTACCAGAAGTCGTGATGACAGCCCCGTCCCTAGAGGTCTTTAAGACGAGGATGGGTGCGCTGCACGAGTAACTCTGGAGCATGGTGTTTTTAACCTGTTTTAGCTGCACTTGATGTTCCCTTCACTCATGTAAATAGTCACAATTGTGCGACGATGCTCCAGAGGGGCCCAGCACATTACCCGGAAGAAGAAGAAATAGGCACATGGCATTTTCCCTAGAAACTTGGCTCAGATGCCCGTGCGGCTTGGGTGTTAGGTCTATATTTTTAAATTAAAAAAAAGCTATGACCTTATGACAATAAGATCAGACAAGGGATCCCTCTACTAGTCATGTCCAATTTCCACACCAAATCTTAGGACTGTAAACAAATTTTCTAGTTATTGCTTGGACAAACTCCTTCACAGTATGTCCCCAATTTTAAAGTGGGGTCATAATATCAGACAATATTCTCCATCCGCAAATGATTTTGTTTGCTTATCTAGCTTTTACGCAAATTCTTACTCATATTTAGACACATCTTGGCTATCAGTCCATCCTGTGACAAAATACAATTTCAATTGGACACCAACATAGTGACTGATAAGAAAGTGCAAGTTGCCTGGCCCGGAACTTTTGTCCCAGGTCTATCTAATTTGATAATGATAAACATGTAACTAATCAGTAATTACCAATTTCTCCAAAAGTGACGGGTCAGACTTATTATCAGAAGACTAAAACATGTGGGTCAAAACACAACAAACATCAGAAACACAGTTTTGTGACTACTTTTTATTTTTTGTCAAATTTTATTTGAATTTTTCGATATAATTTTGGCTGAAATATATACATGACACAGTGACCCCATGATAGGCAATAGATCTCCAGGAAAAAATTTATCACTGTATCTCTTAACAATGATAACCTTAGCAACAACACCGACTCACAGACCAATGTTACTGAATGGCCCAATATAATACATAATGACAGAAAATAAATCACAAAGAAAAGCAAAAAAGATCTACTTGTGTGAACGAATAAATTATTATGTTGTACATACACACACTCACGCACACATACATAATTACACAAATTTACTCACAACTTTGTAAGAAAAAAATCATTTGATAATAATTAAACATAGATAAATTTATAACATGAGAGAGAAATAAAACGTAACATATTCTGAGATGAATGGGTGGGTAAAAAACAAGTACACATACATGAATATCGATCGACCTGATTAGTACTCCCTAATGTTACTTTGACAAAGCATAACGACTTTAATTTCAGAAGAAAAACATTATTTTGTTGTTCACTCCCTTATTGATGCAACAGCTGTTAGCCTTAACCACCTTAAACCCAATGAATGGTATTGATAAAATATCGAATAATTATCAAGAATCGAAGACTAACTTTCTAAGTCACAAGATGCAGTAAATGTCATTTGCGACTCCTGAACTTTATTGGCTAATGAAGATATCAGGTGCTCCTTCCTGCATTATTTCACCCACAAGCAGGCACCTGAGTAGAACTACTGCTCTTTAGTTAACTAGCTGCATAGCGTCCTCACCTGAAAATTGATAAAGTCACCGATGGGATTCGAACCCACAGTGGCAAGGGGCAAGTTATTTCTGTCAATAAATGTACGTGCAATGACAAACTATTTGGTGGATGAACAGAATGAAGGACAAACAATATAAAAGTCAATTAGAATGAAGGACAAACAATACGAAAGCCAATTAGAATGAAGGAAACAAGTACAAATAGTATGAAGATCAATTAGAATGAAGGACAAACAATATGACTGTCAATTAGAATGAAGGACAAACAGTATGAAGGTCAATTAGAATGAAGGACAAACAGTATGAAGGTCAATCATAATGAAGGACAAACTGTAACTGTATGCTTCATCAAAACATTTTCGGAAGCATAAAAACCAAGGAAGAAGTAAATTGCAGAAAAATATTGTAACAAATGCACTCAAACCAAGGAAGAAGTAAATTGCAGAAAAATATTGTAACAAATGCACTCAAACCAAGGAAGAAGTAAATTGCAGAAAAATATCGTAACAAATGCACTCACTGTATGCAATAAGACACTAGAAAACTCTGCAATGATTTACCATCATTAGTTTCATCCCTTCACTCTTAACTCAAGTAACAATTTCATGTTTTACATTCATACTTTGAACACAATTTCTATACAAAATAATAATAATGACACGCACACAATCTTTCAAAGTTTAGAATATTTGATTTCAAAAATGCTTGAACAATGTATACGCTAAGCCTGATCATAATTTTTACATCTAATGCTAATTCAATATGTAAATGTATATATGTATATATACTTATGTATATTTATAAATATTCATTGAACAAATACATAAAAACATGACATAAATATCACAAAAAAAACAAACAAACAAGAAAAAATTAAAAACACTAAAGCAAATGAAAAAGATTTATCAAAACAGGAAACAAAATTACCTCAACGGGTAAATTTTAGTTTTTGCATACAAAGATGTGTTAATAATTAATGGTTTTTCACAAAATTGTTTGTACCCTTACACATGGTTTAATACTCTCTGTTTTTAAATTAGACCAATTCAATGTCAATGAAACAACATAAGGAGTACCGGTAACTACATCATGTTACTATAAACAAAGCACATGGCCCTTGTTCACATGAAAAACTTATTTCAATCTATCTCTACCAGTACAATAGATGTATCTATTTCATAAATACATTCTCTACTTAGATACGTCTATAAAATTTTTGTAGCTCTATCAAATTTTGTAGCAGTATACAGAAAGGCTGGCCTTAATAATTCATGTAGACTGATCAAGATTATTTTTTTCTGGGTTGGGTTTTATGTACCCTCAGGTGCCTTTCCATGCATTATTTCAACCATGAATGGGCACCTGAGTACGATCACCTACATCCCATAAGCTAGCTAGATAGCTTCCTCACATGAAAGAATCCAAAGTCACTGTCGGGATTCGAACCCACAGCAGTGAGGGGCAAGTGGTTTGATATTAATGACCTTAACCATTCGGCCATGGACGCCCCACTTTCATAATAAGTAGATCCAGTAATTCTAAATTTTAAGATAACCATCAGATTTGCAGTACACTACGGTTCTAATAAGCCTTAAATTTGCATTACACTAGATCCCAATCAAATCTAAAAATTTGCATTGCAATACATCCCCGATAAACCTTGAATTTGCATAAACTTACATCAATTATAAACTCCTAATATCTGCATTACACTACATCCCTATTAAACCATTTAACTTTGCATCTTCTTCTAAAATCCCTGTAATAAACTTAATATTACATCCCAGAAAACATTAAATTACATCCCTGATAAAACCTTCGAAACTATAAATGTATTTTAAATCAAACACTGTCAATTCTAAGAGTTGAAAATTTTAGATGACAGCTGCTTTTGCACCATGGAACCTATGTATTTCATAAATATTTAAGAATATAGAGCATCTACACTCTGGAAGACAAAGAAGAAATCAAAAGACTAAATTTAGCTGGTGTCTGTTTTAAATCAAAAACAATTTTTGCACCATCTTATCTATCAACTGAAAGTTTTT